GAGATATCCGATCTTACATACTCACGAGAATATATCGTGACTCGTAATCAAGAATTGATTCATATACCTGCCAATTTTTCTCAATGAGAGTAACAGATTGGTAAAAGAATCGTTCGACGTGATCACGGAATCATTAATTTTAGTAGATAAAAAAAAACGTCAATATCTCATAATCCTGTAGTCATAATTGAACAATTTTATACCATTTGATCCTCTCATATAGAGGAATTGGATGATATAAATTTTATTCATTTCTAATCACGAAGTCATGAGATATCACAATTCGTTACAATACCCCTTTCCTTATGTATAATAAATAATAACCTCAGCGTGTTCCTGAGACGTGGATTGAAAGGCTTCTGAAATTATGGGGATCTGCTTCAATAACGCAACTGCATTTTTTTGACTAAAAGAAATTAAATTATTTAACTCGGTGTTATTAGCATCAGTGAAAAAAAAGAAACGTATATAATACTTTGGAAATGAATCAGAACCCCTTCCTAATGCAAATAATCGATCCAGTATCTATTATTGATAAAATTTAAATGTTAATATGAAATGGACAAATATCAGAATTTGAGATTTTTATATGCATACATTATTTGCAATTTTGGTATAATCATCAGGTGGTGCTGTTTCATTATTTAATTACATTTTATTATTTTATAGATACACGAGATTATGAGTGGACGTGTAAGGCCCGACGGTACGGAAAACAAGCCGCTACCTATAATGCAATCATCCGATTCACAAAACACTTCCAGCAATTTGGCGACGGACACAGTATTAAATCCAAAAGAGGAAACTAAAGAGACACAAATTGCATGGAAGCAATTAGATCAATACAGTTCGATGACATACAAAGAACAGCAAGACATGGATGGACCAGAGGCCAACGCATTATCTCAACCAATCTCCATGAGAGCTCGTGGACAGCATTATCGTGTAAGAGGTGGTTTTGGGGGACGTCGTCCTCAGCGTGGTTTTTCCGATTTCGGTAGATCCCAGACACCAGATACTGATGATAACCGTAACAGTGGGCCTATACCATATCTACAGTACAATGTTCCAAACATTTTTGGAATTAAAAAAGAACAGGATAAATATATGAGCCGGTTAGGTAAATCTAATTCATTACTTTATCAATATTGGATCGGCAGAAGGAATGCGAGAGAGTCTAGAGGGATTAAACGTAAAGATTTCGATGGACAATTACCCCTCACTGAGCCAAGTCATCAGGAAGAAAAGTTTGAACAATGATTAATCTTTATTTGGCAATATTTATCATGTGACTAATGTAGTACTTTAATTATTGTTAATCGATTCAATCTTTCTGTATTTGTATATAATAAAAACCGTTTAATGAATAGAGTAGAATAAGCCGATCC